CACACACACAGTACACCCAGCAGCATTAACAACTAGTAAACACTCCATACTCTTTCATCAACAAAATCTGAAGTTTTTTTTCTTTTGAGTAATTATGTGTACAGGTTTATTTATTAACTTAGCCCAGGCTCCTTTATCTAATTTAGCAGATGAATTTCTAAAAGCAGGGCTGCAGTAGAAAGAATAACAATAAAAAGACCATTTTAATCAATTAGGAGTGATATATCGATGATTTGGACGTGCGTGGTAGCAGTGAACATGGAAAGATGGATCAGATTATAAGCGTATTTTGAAGACAGAAGCAGAAGAACTTGCTGATATGTCACCTTCAAGAATGCCAGCTAGAAAATTTGGAAATTCCTGTAATCCTTCTACATTTTTGTAAAACTAGATGATAGAATAGACTTTTCCTGTCTCACTTTTGTCTGAAAATAGAACACAGAAAATTCCACAGTAAGTGGAAAACAGACCTCCTTTTTATGCATATTTTTTGGAGAAGGTGAAAGAAATTTCATTCCATGATTCTTAGACTTTGTAGACAATTAATGGTAAAAGAAGAGTGAGAAACCAAATTTAATTAGAAGGATACCTTTAAAACTGTGAGAAAACTGTGAGATGCAACTTCTTCCAAACCCAAGGTGGAGAAAGAGAACCTGTCTGTTCCATCTCAGTCTTACTGAGGAGCTTTCCATGGGACCTGTCAGCTTTGAAATATTTTCCCCGCAATGTTGCCTGACTCATATCTGAAGAAACTAAAACCTGTGTGGCAAGAGAACAAAGGGAATACACCGAAACTTATGAGCTCCCATAGCTTACTGGTAAGCACTTCCACCAGACAGATGTGAGTCTCACGGGGCACATGACAATGTCTTGGGCTCTGTTTAGTTGGCTGCTTAGAAGAAAAAGAGAGAAGCCATCAGCAGAAAGGGTATGGGGTACAGCACAAGATGCTCAGGAAATGTGGCAAATTCATGAACTCAGGGACACACCCACCACTGGACACCTCTCTTTGATCTGTGTAGATGTATATATTTTCTAGGTGCATAAACTTTCTAAGGGTCCATTAACATGCCACCAAGGAATTGGAAAAGCTTTATATAGAGAAGATCTTCATAGCTCACTCTGAGCCAGGGTGCTCAGAACCCAGCTATCAGGCTGGAATTGGGTTAAGTGGAAGGGTAGGTGGAGAACTCACAGACAAAAAAGCCATTCATCTCCCTTCCTTCCTTCAGGTCTCCAGCCCAGAGTGAACCCAAGTTGGGGAGGGGAGAAAATTTTGCATTAAATCAGGTTTAGAGTTATTACTATTTTGGACCATGCATCCAAAACACTGAATAAATGTGTGTTTGTGGTTTGAATATACTAAAGAACATTCAAGGAGGCCACAGTACACTAAAATACAGTAAGGTCTTGATCATATTTTGAACAATACGTGTTGAACACAGTGGTTTAATTCATGACAGAAGAGAAATGTAGGCATTCCTTAATAGAGTGAATTATGAAAACAGAGACCTTTAAATGGAAGTGACATATCAAACAGGAGTTTGAAAAGCATTGACCTCAGGGCCTAAAACACGTGGCTAGGAAATCAACATAACATTCCTTTCAGGTGTATTAGGCAACTGCTTCTTTCCTAAGAAGAAATGTAGCTCAGTCACTGCAAGTTCTTAAGCATAAGAAAAGGCTTTGATGCTACATTTATAATGTTCTCCCAAGGTAGTAAAACATGTGAGATTTCTATTCAATTTTGTACTTCTTATCTACATAGGGTGTTATCGCCATTATTTACTCTACACTGTTCTCCATTTTTTAAACAGTAAATAATTCAGAAATGTTTCTTGAATTTTATTTCTATCAGCACCCTACAATCTTATTCTGTGCATGGATATTCTTAAATGAGGATGACAATTCCATACACAAAATATCTTTGTGCTTACTCAGAAACCTGGTCCTTGGATCCTGAATCCTGATTTAATTACAGAAAAGAATGAGAAAAGATAAACCTAAATTTCTATTTCTACTGTATCCATGACACAGTTAATTTAAGACTCACAGAGGTCTACACATTCAGAAAGCTTGAAAATAATTTCTTTAATGTAATACAAAGAAAACCGTCTCCTTAACTGAATTTCTGGACTTCTGTGGACCAGAAATCAGATGCTTCATATTATTGTAGTAGCTTTTCTCCTCCCAGTTTAATCTAGGATCCTTTTAAACCAAGATTGCTTCTATATTCAGTAAGACTACATACAAACTTGATTTTATGAATTATATGAATGCCACTGCTGAGAAGTCCCACTGGCAATATAATATGATTATGCAAATATACACTTCAGATAAATTAAAGCCATAAAAAGAAATCATAAGATTGAGAAAATAAATTTTTAAGGCTTTATTTCAGGTCTTTCATGTCAAAGTTGGAAACTTTCTTTTGTAAGGATACGGATGAAACCTGTTAAGCAGAGAGGAGCAAATCATTCTCTAAGCTTATATTTGCTGTAATGGTTAGTCCCTTACAAAGGGTGCATAAGCAACACAGATATCTTATATTGGACATTTTGCCAGTTGTACATGGATTCATACAGTGGCAAATGATCCCACTCTGAAAATTAAATTTAATGCATCATTTTTCTTTAACAAGTTATTGTTCTTGATAAAATAATGGAATAAAAGATTCTGCATTGTATCCATGGCACTTAAGGATAGAGGTTGCAATACTTTAATATTATACTTTAATCATTTTACTTTAATAATGTAATCATACTTCACTACTTTAATCATTACAGCAAGATTTGGTAGATTATTTTATGCCTACTTAGAAAAGCAATCATTTTTAAAAGCAAACAAATAAAAAACAGAAATAAAACAAACATCGACGACAATACAATTTTTCTTTTTTTTTTTAATTGGTAGAGAGAGAACAGAATCTGGTTGCTCATTTATGCAAGGCTTAACATGAGCTCCATTTCTCAATACTAGTACTTTTTAAAATAAAAGTTGGATACTTTCATTGTGAATTCTTTGTTTTCTATATATTTCCATATATAATTCCTTTGTATTTCTATATTCCATAAGGAACTGTAAACTCCTTTGACGGCAGGCATTTAGTCACTGATCTTTGCGGTTACACTCATGCATTCCTTACATTTGCTGAGTCCTTAGCATGTGGTAGGTGTGCAGTAGAAGATTGCTAAACTATTGAAATAAAGAGCACTTTTCACTAATTCTAAAATCCATCTTTATTTCTACATTTTAACAATTCTGAGATTAGAATACATCTTATATTCAATAGTCTATCATGGTTGCTATTAATAATCATGACCTGACATAAAATAAAATCTCAGACCGTATTTTTCTATAATTCAGAATTATTAATGTTCTTAATGACACAAGAACAGTATTGTACAGCAAACTATGATCATCAGTGACCCTACAATAAAAGCTAATTTAGAAGTTGAGTTCTCAGTGTGAAGTATTAGGAATAACTTAATTAGTTTGTTTTCCGTTTATTGTCTTTTTATGTAGGCTAATGATTGACATGTTTTAAAAGAAAATATAAGTATAAACAAACTTAGAAGAGCTTTTTTAATAATGTTCTATCTCATAAGATATGGTAGTTTAATCGGGAGTACGTTTTATTTTGTAATTATACGTGTTATAATTACTAAATATTATGTGATCTATACTTTTGTGGCAGATAGTACAATATTCATAGTGTTTTGATTTAAACTATACCTTGAAATATTTTGAATAGAGTGTACTTTTGTCAAATAGAATATTTCTAATAATTTGCATAACAGATCACTAAAACCACCACAATCTACATCCACAAAATCATAAATGTTTACCTCTATGGACTTGATTATGTTTTGCTTCCATCCTAAGTAATTTTCAATGATGTGTTCAAATGGTCATCTTCAGCATACAGATGTCTATTTTAACTTCAGAGGCATCAGTGTCCACCCTCCACATCCAACCCAGGACCATACCAGGTGAAGTGAGAAATGAATAAACATATGGCCTCCTTGTAAATCTGCCTAGGAACTTCCATCTTCCAAAATGGAGGGAAACCTGCCTGTGTAGTGCCCGCACACTAGCTGGTAATGGCCACACTAGAACAGCATTGCTACTTTGACTTAGTGACTAACATTTTGCTTCTGTTCCTCAAATAAGCATTGCATGTTCTATCTTTGACTTTTCTTTCTTTTCCCAATTTCAATCTGTCAAAACACTATTCAACCTATAAGGCCTAGTAAAAATGTTATCAGAGATTCCCTAATAACCTCAGCCAGAAATGGCTATATATTTCATAAGAGCTTTTATTTATTATTTTTTTTTTTTGACATCGAGGCTTGCTTTGTCACCCAGGCTGGATGGAGGGCAGTGGGTTGATCTTGGCTCACTGCAACCTTTGTTTCTGGGTTTGATTCTCCTGACTCAGCCTCCTGAATAGCTGGGACTTTTTTTAAATTTCTATATATTTTGTTTATTCTTTTCAAATACCATATCATATGGCTATTGATACATACATTTTTTTCACTATATGACAGTAGAATCCTGAGTACAGGGTAATATTTGGTATATCTCTATATAACCTCACAATATGGTTGTAATAGGGGCTCAATAAAAGTTTGTTAAATTGATAAATTTACTGAATTCCTAAATTAATATACAATCAGTGTGTATTTCACACAGTGAGTGTTTTATGCTATATGCCACATTTTCTTTCAATCTTTTTTTAACTAAAAACATACTATAAAAAGCATTCAATGGTATCACTAAGAATATGTTCTGAACACTACTCAATGCAAATATAAAGCAATGTTATTAACCTTTAAACTGTTTAAGTTTCATTTATAGTTACACATATTATTTATACAGGATTTTCTCTGTATTTTACAGATATATGCAATATTTGAGGAGGTAATTTGATATCAACCATTATTTGCTCAAAAAGAGCCTGAATAACCTATGTTGTAACGTTTTCTCAGCAAACTTACCTCTCACAATGATGTTGGTGGACTTTTTTGCAGGGTTTCCCACATTATTATTGGCAATGCAGCTGTAACTACCAGCATCATCTGAGGTGATGGCAGGTATGGTCAAAGTTCCTCCATTCAAAACAGTCTTTTCAGGCAGAGTCCCAAAGGACCTGACCCAGGTGAGAGAAGGTGCAGGCTCTCCTCCTGTTGTAACACATACTAATGTTATGGCCTCTCCAGGATTTACAACTATAGGATCATCCACCAAGAGTTTAATTGACGGTGATGCTAAAAGACATAAACAAAAGAACATGCACCTATTTAGATATGCTACAACTAGAAGTCAACAGCATGCATTATATTGGTTCATTCAAAAAATTAAAATATAGTCCTCATTTGCCAAAATCATACTGCATTGCTCAAATTTAAACAAGACGTAATGGTTTCATATTTTAATTAAATGGCATAAACATACAGAACGGTATTGAAATTCTTACACATAGAAAGGGGAATTAAAATTCATGGTTCCCAGACTATTGTTCTGAAATTGGAAAAAGAGTGATAAAAGTTTTAAAACAAAATATCCCTTTCTTTTTAATGCTAACAATCATCTTCTGTTTTTGTCACTCCCAGTACAGATACTGCAGCTATTCAGTCCTTGTATTTTCAAGATGAAGATGGTTATTTATTTTTTGGATCATTCTGAGATGAAATAATAAATTTTTGCAATCTGAATCCAACCAAGTGACAGATAAAGGCATAGAACACCCAGTCTTTTATCATTCAGTGAGTCTGATTTTTGTTCTTGAAATAAATAATAAAATCTTCTAATTGTAATGCAGTTCCATACTTCATCTCTAAACTCTTCACTTACAAAGGTCTAGGCAGTGAACTCCTATAAACATGGCTTTAAAACTTAGAAACATTTGAGAGCTCAAACAGCCACCAAACTATGCTTGTTATTACTGTTTGTGTTACAATAATCCCTTACTGAAAACAAGTCTTTTGTAATCTTTTAGGTTAAAAAATACAAAGATTTGTATTGGTACTAAAATTCATTCATTAGAAAAAGCTGTGTTGCAGCCTTTTCATCAAACAATCCAAACAGAAACTGTACAAAAACTATATTCACATATAGCACTTTTTTTTGCTTATACTGCAGTGCTAGCCTAAATAATGCATCCCTAAATAAAAACAGGGGAAATACATTATAATGACATTTCAAGTCACACATTCAGAAATATTTTGTCAAAGTAAGAGCTGTATTGTATGAAATCAATCTACATTAGAAATAAACTGTTCAATTGTACTGTATGACTCTTTTATATATTCAGCTTAGACTTGAGAAGCGTTTTACTCAGAAAAAAAGCTAGACTGCTTGTGTAGTTCAAAACTGCCTGCCTTGTTTGAAAAAAAAAAGCCAGAAGAAGCAAGATAATAATTCCACATTATACTTCTATGGGAAAGACATGAAGTGCCTGTATGACCTTTTTAAACATCAGTGTTACATGTTGACTCTTCTAACATCACTTTAAATAACATGGGAATTTTTTTAATGTCATACTATTAGCCTATTTGAAGAGTTAATGTGAAGTGATAAAGATTTATGATTGAAAATCTGTTGGGAAATGCACTTCATGAAATTATAGGCAAAAGTTGCCATACTTTGGTGGAAAAAGTATTTCAAATAGTTATTTAATGTTGTTAAACTGATGGAAGACACTACTAATTAAATATTCTGAAAACAGATATTATACTTAATTATTAATATGTTATCATCAAGAGGTAAAGGATATCTTGATAGCCTGACTTAAGGTAAATGGCATAATCATATAAAAGTATATGAGTAAAATATAAGTATAGAGATCCCAACATTTATTTCATATTAACAAAGTTTAACTTTGTTCACATCACATTTTAGTAAAATTAAAAGGCTCAAGGGCTAAAGGCTATTAATAGCATATATTTGGACTATGGACACACAGAATGGTGACATTAAGTCAAGGCATATTTGCCCCTGACATTGATTTGTATAAGACAAGTTGTTTTCTATTAGACATTATTTAAAGAAAAAAGCTTGAGATAATTTCAAAGTGCAAAAATAATGCCTACATAACAAGATCACTGTTTTAACTATAATACATTTTAGAATCACATTCACAACATTATTAAAAATGTTTTCTTCCAAATTGGACTTGAAAACACAGCGTTGCTCAAGTTACTTTTATTGATGGTGGTACTTATTTTATCTGATTGTACCTAAAATTAAAGATAACCCAGGTAGGCTACGAAACAGCTAACAATTTCAAGACTTTAAAAATATTCATATATATTTTAATACTAAAATTTGTTAGCTATAAATTTCAAAACAGAAAAAAGTTGAAATCATTGTCATCTTGTTCTAGTCTCTTACTTTTTATTTCATAAGCATCAGTATTTTAAAACTACTAGGCTTTGCTTAAGAAACTGAGACATTAGGATTATTCAAGCTTCAATGTAAATCATGTCCTTGGTTAAAATCTAATATGGGAAAAACAAAAAAAAGTTTTTGTCTATTAACATATTTTAAGGAAAATATTTTATATTGGATGAATCATTTGCTAATTGGGGGGTATACAAAGAGTAACGTAAAACATTCTGGGTCATTCTCTGTTTATAGGTTTCCATAGCTACCGCTGCCAATTTTTCTTTCATATTACCTTCTATATAGACAGGCCACCACTATCGCTCTTCAGCCAGATGAAAAGTATCATAATTGCATTCTCTGAAGTATTATATAAAGTGACAGTTAAGTGATAAGAGTACAAATTCCAGAGAAAGGTACCTGGGTTCAAGTCTTGACTGTGCCGTTTAATACCTGTGTGAACTTGAGCAAGTTCTTTCTCTTCCATTGAGGGCCTCAATTTCCCATTGTTGAAATAGGGGAATATAATTGTAACTATCTTGTAGCATTGAGATAATTTAGCATGTGTAATCTAAAGCCCTTACAATGGTACTTAGTATGAAGAATGCACAAAATAAGTGTTTTCTTTTGTCATTTTGTTTTACCCTCCATACCCTGGTCCAGTACTTGCAACTTAGTTAATAACTATTAGCAACACAAGGCAGCAAATGAGAAAATTAATAAATGAGTGACTACTATAAAATATGTGGTCACTACCAGATGCAATTATTCTGTTGGATACTGCAGAAATATCTTGACCATTGTGATTTTTGAAAGTCCTATACCATGCATCATCAAGACAATCCTAAGCATAAAGAACAAAATTGGAGGCATCACACTACCTGACTTCAAAGTATACTACAAGCCTACAGTAGTCAAAACAGTATGGTACTGGTACCAAAACAGAGATATAGACCAACGGAACAGAACAGAGGCCTTGGAGGCAACACCACACATCTACAACCATCTGATCTTTGACAAACCTGACAAAAACAAGCAATGGGGAAAGGATTCTCTGTTTAATAAATGGTATTGGGAAAACTGGCTAGCCATGGGCAGAAAGCAGAAACTGGACCCTTTCTGACACCTTATACTAAAATTAATTCCAGATGGATTAAAGACTTAAACATAAGACCTAACACCATAAAAACCTTAGAAGAAATCGTAGGCAAAACCATTCAGGACATAGGCATAGGCAAGAACTTTATGACTAAAACACCAAAAGCATTGGCAACAAAAGCCAAAGTAGACAAATGAGATCTAACTAAAATGAATAAACCTTCTGTACAGCAAAAGAAACAATCATTAGAGTGAACTGACAACCAACAGAATGGGAAAACATTTTTCACAATTTGTCCATCAGACAAAGGGCTAATACTCAGAATCTACAAAGAACTTAAACAGATTTACAAGAAAAAAACAAACCCATTCAAAAGTGGGCAAAGGATATGAACAGACACTTTTCAAAAGAAGATATATATGAGGCCAACAAACATATGAAGAAACGCTCATCATCACTGCTCATTAGAGAAATGCAAATCAAAACCACATTGAGATACCATCACACACCAGTTAGAATGGCAATCATTAAAAAATCTGGAGACAACAGATGCTGGAGAGGATGTGGAGAAAAAGGAACACTTTTACACTGTCGGTGGGAGTGTAAATTAGTTCAACCATTGTGGAAGACAGTGTCGAGATTCCTCAATGACCTAGAAATAGAAATTCCATTTGATCCAGCAATCCCATTACTGGGTATATACCCAAAGGATTGTATATCGTTCTATTATAAAGACACATGCACATGTATGTTCACTGAGGCACTGTTTACAACAGCAAAGACCTGGGACCAACCCAAATGCCCATCAGTGATAGACAAGACAAGGAAAATGTGGCACATATATACGATGGAACTCTATGCACCATAAAACATGATGAGTTCAAGTCCTTTGTAGGGACATGGATGAATCTGGAAACCATCATTCTCAGCAAACTGACCCAAGAACAGAAAATCAAACACTGCATGTTATCACTCAGAGGCGGGTGTTGAACAATGAGAACACATGGACACAGGGAGGGGAGCATCACACACTGGGATCTGTTTTGGCAGGGGAGAGACAGCAGGGGATGGGAAGGTTGGGGAGGGATAAAATGGGAAGAAATGCCAGATATAGAGAAGAGGTATGGAGGCAGCAAACCACATTGCCATGTATGTACCTATGCAACAATCCTGCATGATCTGCACATGTGCCTCAGATCCCAAAGTATAATAAAATTAAATAAATGAAAAAATTAAAAAGTCCTATACCATATGTATATAACATTTTAAATATGTCTATACATTTTAAATAATTATTTTGTTTTATAATATTTTTATTTGGAAATTGAAACTACTGTATTTTAAGATTCAACATCTCCCCAGGACCTTTAAAAGCTCATGAGCAGAAGGTACTATACCTATGTTAACACTTGTTGTGTAGGTAAATGTCCCAGGGAAACAGCTTCCAGCCCTGCAGTGGTGGAATGGAGGCAGCAGAGAGACCAGCTAGCATTAAAAAGTGCCAAAACAATAGGAATGACAGCAGCCTCAAGAAATGTATGCTGGTCAAATGATTCGGATCTCATGCTCCAGGTCTTGGTACAATAGCATCTCCTAGAATTTTAACTAGGTGGCAATTCCAAATTGATAACATTTTTCTGAGGTTATGGCAGAATAGGAAGTTGAAAGAAAAAATAATATTGAATTATGAAACAGCAGAGACAGACATATATTTTTCAAACCCAAGTCTGTATACTGGGGTTTATGCCCACTAAAAATTGTAGTAATTCAATTTCTCATGAGGTA